CTGGTGTCCCTGCAGTTGTTGATCTTGCATGCATGAGAGATGCCATGAACAATCTTGGTGGGGATTCTAATAAGATTAATCCGCTGGTCAGTTTCCCTGACAACTGAGATTGGTTAATATCACGTGTTCTTTTGGTATGATACAAGTTTTGCTAATACTTGCAGGTCCCCGTAGATCTTGTCATTGATCACTCCGTTCAGGTGGACGTGGCGAGATCAGAGAACGCAGTGCAGGCAAACATGGAGCTTGAATTCCAGCGTAACAAAGAAAGATTTGCTTTTCTTAAGTGGGGCTCCAATGCCTTTCACAACATGCTTGTCGTACCTCCTGGTTCTGGAATTGTTCATCAAGTAAGTAAAAGATTCAGGAACAACTGTATTCGATTGGACGCTGGAAGTCTTTTTGATGCTGATTCAAGATATACTAAGTTCTATGATTTGCATTTGACAGGTCAACCTAGAATACCTTGCCAGAGTTGTTTTCAACACAAATGGACTTCTTTACCCAGACAGTGTTGTTGGCACAGACTCTCACACCACTATGATTGATGGACTGGGTGTTGCTGGATGGGGAGTTGGCGGTATAGAAGCGGAAGCTACCATGCTTGGTCAGGTAAATTAGATGCTCGTTTGGTCGAAAACTCAGAACTAACTGTCTGAACTCTTTATGAAACGTTGGTTCTATTATAGGGATGGTTCTCTGACAGTTCAAGTTTAACGCTTTGTTGAAGTTTCTTCTATTATAACTGTAGCATTAATTTAACTCTTTCAATGCAGCCAATGAGCATGGTCCTGCCTGGTGTTGTGGGTTTCAAGCTAACGGGAAAACTAAGAGATGGAATGACAGCTACTGATTTGGTCTTAACAGTGACTCAGATGCTGAGGAAGCATGGAGTAGTTGGAAAGTTTGTTGAATTTCACGGTACGTTCATGAAAATTTGATATCATATTTGATATCTGTCATTTTTTGTACTTATCCAGTACCTGACTGAGTTAGGCTAACTCAAATATGCATCATTGCTTTTTCCAACACAGGGGAAGGGATGAGAGAATTGTCTTTAGCTGATCGTGCTACAATTGCTAATATGTCTCCTGAGTACGGTGCAACCATGGGATTCTTCCCCGTCGATCATGTCACTTTGCAGTACCTCAAGTTGACAGGCAGGAGCGATGACACTGTAAGGGGTTGCCTAGGGGATTATACATTTAAGCGTGCTATTGCTTTTCATCAGGGTAGTGATTTGTGAATTGAATTTCAGGTCTCTATGATAGAGGCGTATTTACGAGCAAACAAGATGTTTGTGGACTACAGTGAGGTTAAACCTTGGGCATTTCTAATGCTTCATTTCTTTGTCCATTTTCATCTATCATAGAGCATAACATATTCTCCACTTGGAAATTTTTACTCATCTCAGCCCGAGAGTAAGACAGTATACTCCTCAAATCTGGAATTGAATCTCGAGGATGTGGAACCCTGTGTATCTGGTCCAAAGAGGTACTAATAGCGAATATCTATATAGACTTTGTCTAGGTTCTATTCTTCTTGTAACATTGATTCTCTATTCACAATACAGGCCACATGATCGCGTTCCTTTGAAGGAAATGAAAGCGGACTGGCATTCTTGCTTGGATAACAGAGTCGGATTCAAGGTTAGAACTCTCCTTTGTGTTCAGAAGAAAATTTTAAAGTGAATGCTTGCAGTCCCGAAAGCTTAGTCTGTTGTAAAAAGTTGGCACGTCTAGCAAATGTTCCTGTGGTTTTGAAACAATAGTAGTAGGTATCATGTTGAGGCGTTTGAGTTATTAACTAGGTTTAATTAATAACTGTGTCCTGCAACACTTTCGATTTTATAAGTTAGTCCCAGTTGACAAAAATTTTGGTTAGTGATTCTACTTATCCATATGTTTCCAGGGTTTTGCCGTACCAAAAGAAGCACAGAGTAAGGCTGTAGAGTTCAATTTTAACGGGACCCCAGCACAGCTTAGACATGGAGATGTTGTTATAGCAGCAATCACCAGTTGCACAAATACCTCAAACCCTAGTGTAATGCTTGGCGCTGCCTTGGTTGCCAAAAAGGCCTGCGAATTAGGACTGGAGGTTTGACTACTGTTCCTTTCTGACCTGCTCCTTTTTGTGATGGTGTTTTAATATGTTTCTGTGCATTGAGAGTAATAAAAGTGTGTGAATTTCTCCATTATTAGGTTAAGCCATGGATTAAAACTAGTCTTGCTCCTGGCTCTGGAGTTGTAACAAAGTACTTGGCAAAGAGGTACTGCAGATACATCATTGAATGTGTTGTTATTCATTACCTTGTGTTATGTGTTCCTGAGTTTTCGAGTCTTGCAGTGGCTTGCAGAAGTACTTGAATCAGCTCGGTTTCAGTATAGTTGGTTATGGGTGCACCACCTGCATCGGAAACTCGGGGGATATCCATGAAGCTGTGGCGTCAGCAATTGTTGATAATGGTAAGTCCTCAAATAGTTTGTCATGTAATGCGTATTCACTTGAATATTCGAAGGTGAAACTAAATTATGTTTCATATATGTACAAGACTTGGTGGCATCCGCTGTGTTGTCGGGGAACAGAAACTTTGAGGGACGTGTTCATCCGTTAACAAGAGCAAACTATCTCGCTTCCCCTCCGCTTGTTGTAGCCTATGCACTGGCTGGCACTGTATGTTGATGCTAACTCTCAAACCATTACATAGCAATTAAGCATTCAAGTTAATATGAAGCACTGAATCATTCCCATGAATGTTCTTGTAGGTTGACATTGATTTCGAGACGGAGCCCATTGGAACTGGTAAAGATGGCAAACAGATATTTTTCAGGGACATATGGCCCTCTAACAAAGAAGTTTCCGAGGTACTGCTCGTGCAGTACACAAACAATAAGATATTTTATAATTGGAAGTGATGTCAAATTCTGTCTCGTTTTTTCAGGTTGTGCAATCTAGTGTCCTTCCTGATATGTTCAAAGCTACATATGAAGCAATCACCAAAGGGAATTCCATGTGGAATCAGTTATCTGTCGCATCCGGCACACTATATGAATGGGATCCTAAATCAACTTACATTCATGAGCCGCCTTATTTCAAGGGCATGACCATGTCTCCACCGGGTCCACACGGTGTGAAAGATGCCTACTGTTTGCTCAATTTCGGAGACAGTATTACCACCGATCACATCTCACCAGCCGGTAGCATCCACAAGGACAGTCCCGCGGCTAAGTACTTGATGGAACGAGGTGTGGATAGAAGAGACTTCAACTCTTACGGGAGTCGCCGTGGTAATGACGAGATTATGGCGAGAGGAACTTTCGCCAATATCCGTATTGTCAACAAACACTTGAAAGGAGAAGTTGGTCCCAAAACAGTTCACATTCCCAGTGGAGAGAAGCTTTCTGTTTTCGATGCTGCCATGGTATGAATCCCACACACTTTCTTGATCCTTTATAAAACCTCAAATTCTAGCTCTTTGATCATGAGGATTGGTCGGGATAACTCTAAGCTTTGAAGAATAGTTCAGCAGCTCAACTCTTAGAGAGCATACAGCGAGGGCTGACTTTATAATGATGTCTCAATAGAATTCTATTTTATTTTGGGGTCGAGAATTGAGTCTTTCATTGATCAAGTCTCTCTTGTTTGGCCATTTTAAAGTAGAATAGCAGTTCCATAGCTTTTGTTCGTATCAAATTATTCTCTTGTTGTGTTGTACCAGAAATACAGGAACGAGGGACGCGACACAGTCATTTTGGCTGGTGCTGAATATGGAAGTGGGAGTTCTCGTGATTGGGCTGCTAAGGGTCCAATGCTTCTGGTACACTTCTTAGCTTACATGTTTCGGGTTTTTTCGTACTTAACAAACATATTTTTTACATATTTATGCTGTTTTTAAAATTTTACGACAGGGCGTGAAAGCTGTGATCTCGAAGAGCTTTGAGAGAATTCACAGAAGCAATCTGGTGGGAATGGGGATCATACCTTTGTGCTTCAAGACAGGAGAAGATGCCGAGACTCTAGGCTTAACGGGCCAGGAGCTTTACACCATTGAGCTTCCAAACAATGTTAGTGAGATCAAACCAGGACAAGATGTAACGGTAATTACAAACAATGGCAAATCGTTCACATGTACACTCCGATTCGACACAGAGGTAAAATAAGTAAATATGGGTTCAACTCCCTCTCTCTCTCTCCGATGATGATCTATTTTGGCTTCCTTTTCGTCTGATTTTTTTTTAAGCTTCAAAACAGACTGATATAATATAAAGAGGAATTTGGAATGGCAGGTGGAGTTGGAATATTTCAATCACGGAGGGATATTGCAATACGTAATCAGGAATCTGATCAAACAATAAATCTGGTAAAGCCACGGGAGACTTTTATATCCAAAAGGTTTGTCGCAATAAAAATGTTTTCAGGGAGGACGACAAGAATGGCGTTATTTTGAACTTTGGTTTCTGTCTTTCTTCTTATTCTCCTTCATCTCTTCCTTCTTGCTAGTCAATTGGAACCTTTGTCACTGTCAAGTCTTTTTTTTTTTGAAATAAATATGAGATCTCTTTTTTTTGTGTCTCTTTTGTTTTATTTTGAACTTGCAATTTCAACTTTTTTTAGGAGTCCCCCAAATGATGGGTAATAACACGCAATAGTAGAACATATTCTGCCAATGGGAATAAACACATAAATTTTTGTAGTTTTTGGTAATCAAATACTGATTATGTATTCACAGCGGAAACTGACCCAAAAAAAAAAAAAAACTGAGTACGAGCGGGTATATGCACACATAGAACTGTTTTTTTTTTTCGATTTCTAAGTGAGCTAGAGGTTTTACTCCAACGAAACGAAGAAAGAAATGATGTCGAGGTTGTTTGAGATCATGGGAACCTGTAAGTACAAATGAGACGACAGAATCATTAAACCAATCTGAGACAATGCAAACGATTTCATCACTAACGTGAGGAGTTTAAGAGCTTTACCTCTTCAAAAGCGAGCTTCTTTTATTATGATTGATACTCTTGAAAGTGTAACCATTTAGTTGCTGCCCACTTGTTCCCTTTGATTACTAGATTACCACCTGAATCATTCAACGTGAGAGATTTTGGTTTAACTTCTCATGATCTCAACTTAGTCAAAAGGGTATATTAATTACGGGTTAAGACAATTTTATATAGAAAGGCAATCTCTCTCTCACAATCTCTCACCATGGTTACTAAAAGGGTCTTGAGACCCGTCAGGCCTCATGTTCCAGAAGAGTAAAGCGTCTCTCTTCTTTGGTAAAACAGAGAGTCCTCCTTTACTAATCTTTCCTTTGGCTAAAGGGAAAACTGTTTCCCCGCCTTGATCAACGTCCGAGCTAATTAGCAGTATAGTACAATCAGAAAAAGATGATTAACGTTACGCATTGCAAAAATTCTTTTCTTGTGGCTGATGTTAAAGATTATTTATAAAAAGGGTTTTTATAGTTCACATACAGGTACATAAGGAAAGTAGCAATTCTTTGAAATCCGTCAAAGTGAGGCTCAAATTTCTGCCCAACTTCATAGTGGATAACTTGAAGCGCTTCTCCATTCTCTGCAGTTACATAACATTAACTCCACATGAAGAGTAACAACGTCGTTAAAAAAAAAAAATGATCTTTGACCATCAACATTTCCTTGTGCGGCACGAAACTTCAAAATTGTATGATTAAGTTTTGGACAGAAACATAAGGCACATACCTACAGGAATGAAGGTGAATTCTGAAATCCTTTTCTCAATGTCTTGCACGATTTTGTCATGTCCTCTTCTAATAGAAGTTTCCGTGCTCGTCCGTTTGCTGCAGATTAACGGATTTCTTATTCTCAAATCTTTCCAAATTAAAATTGAAAAGGGCAAAAAAAAGAAGAAGAACACAAAGCTGAGTACAAAACCTGCTTTCTTTAGACACTCCGGTTGTCTCATAAGCCACTTTCGACTTCACCATACTAGGTTTCGCGAGGCTAATCAAGTGCTCACATTCTTCATTTGTCTTACAATATTTCAAGAATAACATATTCTAATATCAAAATCCCAAACATTATAGATCATTTCACAATCTACATTTTTTCTTTCTCGTGAGAGAAACTACATTGGAAAGTTTAGTAAAAAAGAGTACTAATTTCGTTACCTTGTCTGACAAGAAATATCAAAACTATATGAACTAGCATGAACTTGTTTTTGTTTTTTTAGCATGAAGATGTGAAGTCCTTATAAAGCATATAACATAACTAATCAAAATTTTATCCCAGAGAAGAAAAGAGAACATACCAAAAAATTGTGGTAAACGAAAGCTCTAGGCTCCCAAGAGATGACTTCGGGCCAGCGCTCGTTAGGAAAACGCAACGAAGCAGAAACTTTCTCTTTGTTACAAGTAAGTGCTGTCAACAAAGGGGGCAAAGAACACAACAAAACCATGGGATTATCTGTGTTTAAATCCACAGATACAAGATCACCGATTATTTGTTTGAACGTGTCTATGTGCTCCATTAAATCTGAAACATTGCATATCTTCAGTTTATACAACCACTGCCTCAGATACTGCTTGGTACACAGTGATGTCGTCATCAAGACAATGAATTCCCTTTAGTGAGAGAGAGAGAGAGAGCGATTTGAGGCTTTTATCTAGGGTTCTTTTATTTATCGTAAGTTTGAATGAGGAAGAGTAATAATTACAAATCAACCTACATAAATCCCTTAATATAAATAAGTAAAAAAAGAAAAGAAGAAATAATACAAAATAGAGATGAATATGGAAAAATAGGAAATAAGACTAAGTTTAGCAACAATTTCAGTTTAAAGAAATAAATTATAAGTAGAGGTAAATTATTGTTCTTTTCAAAAATCTATCTATTTTTTTGCTGGGTAAAAATTGGGGTTGTACGATTCAGTCAACCGGAATATGAACAGTGAACATAAACCAACTAAACCGATAGAAAACCGAATCTTCATACTTTTGATTTCCCGAATTTAATTTGCTCTAGAGACGCGTGTCTTTGGTCAGCGCCGTCGCAGGCTCGTTACAATCCATTTCAAGAAGTTTACATTCCGAGGAAAAAGGAAAAAAAATAAGAGAAAGAAAAAGATTATAATTGGGCCTGAGCATTTACGGCCCAATAAACTTAACCGACCTCTAAGAAGCGGCCGCTTTGTTCGCTTTATTATTCTATAAATACAGGCTTAGGGTACCATTTTTCTCTCTTTGCTCATATCTCTCCTCGTGAAGAGACGAGAGAAATCCAGATCTGGGGTCCTGTCGAACCAGAGGGAAAAACGAAAAAAAATTAGCTCAAGTAGACTGTAAACTGACTTATAGAATCAAACAAATCGGAAAGAGAGGGAAACACAATAAGGGTTTGAATCAATTTTGATTCTCTTCTAATTCACGTTCTAGGGTTTTCGTTTCTTTTGATTTGTCCTTGATCGGAGTTTCGCCGCCATGGATACGCGGTTTCCGTTCTCTCCAGCCGAGGTCTCCAAGGTCCGGGTGGTCCAGTTTGGCATACTCAGCCCCGATGAGATCGTAATGCTCCTTTCTCTTTCGAGTTCTCTAGCTCATTGCTCCGCCGTCTGTTTGGCCGGCGGGGAAATTGGAGGGGGCTATATATAGTAATGGAAATCGATAAGTTTAGCTGGGGAGCATGTTCTTTTCAATCTATTGATGTGAATTGGAAGCTATAAGTAGGAATTGTGTATCGCTGGTTGCTAATGGCTTTCTGCCTTTTAATTTTTTTTCCAGAGGCAAATGTCAGTTATACACGTTGAGCATAGTGAGACCACCGAGAAGGGTAAACCTAAGGTGGGAGGATTGAGCGATATTCGGCTTGGTACGATTGATCGGAAGGTGAAGTGTGAGACATGTATGGCTAACATGGCCGAGTGTCCAGGGCATTTTGGCCATCTTGAGCTCGCTAAGCCAATGTTTCATGTCGGTTTTATGAAGACTGTCTTGAGTATCATGCGATGTGTTTGCTTCAATTGCTCCAAGATTTTAGCTGATGAGGTACGGAGGAACTCATCTTGACGTTGCATCCCCTTTTTTACTTACATATTTGTATGACTTAGTTTTCCTCTTGAATTTACCAGAGGATTATGCTTTTTAGGGAAGATAGATTGGATTCCTTTGTGTTGAGAATAATCCAATTGTTTCTTTTTTTTTTTTCATGAAGGAGGACCATAAGTTTAAGCAGGCTATGAAGATAAAGAATCCCAAGAATAGGCTTAAGAAGATTCTGGATGCCTGCAAAAACAAGACCAAATGTGAAGGTGGTGATGAAATTGACGATGTCCAAAACCAAGACACAGACGAACCAGTTAAAAAAAGCCGTGGTGGATGTGGTGCACAGCAACCAAAGCTGACTATTGAGGGCATGAAGATGACTGCAGAGTATAAAATAACAAGGAAGAAAACCGATGAGCCGGACCAGCTTCCGGAGCCCGCAGAAAGGAAACAGACACTCGGTGCTGATAGGGTTCGTCCCTTCTTACGAATGAACTTACCTCTTCTTGGGTGGTGTAATCTGATGGCATGTGAGATTCGTGCAGGTTTTGAGTGTGCTGAAGAGGATTAGTGACGAGGATTGTCAGCTCTTAGGGTTCAACCCTAAGTATGCTCGTCCTGACTGGATGATTCTAGAAGTCCTTCCTATTCCTCCACCCCCTGTCAGACCATCTGTAATGATGGATGCCACTTCCAGAAGTGAGGCAAGTCAGACTTGGTTTTACTGAATAAAATCTTGCTTAGATTCGAGTACAGAGTTAGTCTTGACTGACAATATCATTATCATTTTCAACTTGCTTTTTAACTATACCAACCGAATGTATGTCCCTGAGTTCATGCTTGTTTTTGGTGCAGGATGACTTGACTCATCAGCTAGCCATGATTATTCGACACAATGAAAACTTGAAAAGACAGGAAAAAAATGGAGCACCAGCTCATATTATTTCAGAGTTTACACAACTCTTGCAGTTTCATATAGCCACATATTTTGATAATGAGTTGCCTGGACAGCCAAGGGTAATGCTTTTGTATCCTTCCAGATCGGATATGATACATACAAACGTTGCTTTATCTGGGTTTGCCTTTATTTCCTTCAGGCTACACAAAAATCAGGGAGGCCTATTAAATCAATATGTAGTAGGCTGAAGGCGAAGGAAGGCAGAATCAGGGGGAATTTGATGGGAAAACGAGTTGATTTCTCAGCTCGTACTGTTATTACTCCAGATCCAACAATAAATATCGATGAACTTGGTGTACCGTGGAGTATTGCTTTGAATCTCACATACCCAGAAACAGTTACTCCATATAACATTGAAAGGTTAGTACTTCTTGTGTTTATTTATTTTCAGAAAGTATTGTCTCCATATTTTGCTGACAATATTTTACTGGCAGATTAAAGGAGCTCGTTGATTATGGGCCACATCCTCCACCTGGCAAGACTGGGGCGAAATATATTATTCGGGATGATGGCCAAAGGCTAGATCTTCGGTACCTTAAGAAGAGCAGTGATCATCATTTGGAACTTGGATACAAAGTATTTACTGCTTTTCTTTATTCTATCTACTCAAGCCACAGAGGTTTTTTGTGGAAGTAGTCATTTTTCTATGCTTTCTTGGTCACAGGTGGAACGGCACTTAATTGATGGTGATTTTGTTCTGTTTAATCGTCAACCAAGTCTGCACAAAATGTCTATCATGGGTCACAGGATTAGGATCATGCCATATTCCACTTTCCGTCTGAATTTGTCTGTCACCTCTCCTTACAATGCCGATTTTGATGGGGATGAGATGAACATGCATGTACCACAATCATTTGAGACCAGAGCCGAGGTGTTAGAGCTGATGATGGTTCCTAAATGTATCGTCTCTCCCCAGGCGAATAGGCCTGTGATGGGTATTGTGCAGGATACCCTCCTAGGATGCCGTAAAATTACAAAGAGAGACACCTTCATAGAGAAGGTAACCATTTCAGTAGCGGTTGCTTGATAAAGCTCTGGCCGTGTTTGATGAGACGATAAACCAACTCCTTTGCTGATATCTATTCCATTTTCAGGATGTATTCATGAATACACTTATGTGGTGGGAGGACTTCGACGGGAAAGTTCCAGCTCCTGCAATTTTGAAGCCGCGTCCTCTTTGGACTGGCAAACAAGTCTTTAATCTCATCATACCAAAGCAGATAAATCTGTTCAGGTACTCTGCTTGGCACTCGGATCAAGAGACTGGATTCATAACTCCAGGGGATACTCAAGTGCGAATTGAAAGAGGGGAACTTCTTGCCGGAACTCTCTGCAAAAAGACCCTTGGTACCGGTAATGGAAGTCTCGTGCATGTCATTTGGTAAGATGCTGCACCCTGTTCACTTGACACAAAAAAAAGTATCAAGATTTTAGTGTTGATTGTTGTTTGTCACAAATGCTTATGTGGCTAAAATATACTAATTGGTTTCATGAGCTTTTTTGTTTGTAATTCTTTTTTTTTTTTGAATATTTTGTTTTATAGGGAAGAGGTTGGTCCTGATGCAGCTAGGAAATTCCTCGGTCATACTCAATGGCTTGTCAACTACTGGCTTCTGCAGAATGGTTTTACCATTGGAATTGGTGACACAATTGCTGATTCGTCAACAATGGAGAAAATTAATGAAACTATTTCTAATGCGAAAACTGCTGTGAAGGACCTTATCCGTCAGTTCCAGGAAAAGAAATTGGACCCTGAACCGGGGCGAACTATGACAGAGACATTTGAGAACAGGGTTAATCAGGTACATTAATGGCTAGATAGCAATAGATATTTTCATATGGCGCGTTGCTAGTGATTATCTTGTCTATGCTGACTCATAATCTGCTCTTGTAGGTCTTGAATAAAGCTCGTGACGATGCTGGAAGTAGTGCTCAAAAGAGTCTAGCAGAAACCAACAACCTTAAGGCCATGGTGACAGCAGGATCCAAAGGAAGTTTCATTAATATATCTCAAATGACAGCGTGTGTTGGTCAGCAAAATGTAGAAGGGAAGCGGATCCCATTTGGATTTGATGGGCGGACATTGCCTCATTTCACCAAAGATGATTATGGTCCTGAAAGTCGTGGCTTTGTTGAGAATTCGTACCTACGTGGGTTGACTCCCCAAGAGTTCTTTTTCCACGCAATGGGTGGAAGGGAAGGTCTTATTGATACTGCTGTGAAGACATCAGAAACTGGATACATTCAAAGGCGATTGGTTAAGGCTATGGAGGATATTATGGTAAAATATGATGGGACAGTCAGAAACTCGTTGGGTGATGTTATCCAATTTCTTTATGGGGAAGATGGTATGGATGCTGTATGGATAGAATCACAGAAGCTGGATTCCTTAAAGATGAAGAAATCCGAGTTCGATAGGACTTTCAAGTATGAGATTGACGACGAAAACTGGAATCCTACATACCTAAGTGATGAACATCTTGAGGACTTGAAAGGGATCCGGGAGTTGCGTGATGTATTTGATGCGGAATATCAGAAACTTGAGGCTGACAGATACCAGCTCGGGACTGAAATTGCAACAAATGGTGATAGCACTTGGCCATTGCCTGTTAACATCAAGAGGCATATCTGGAATGCCCAGAAGACTTTCAAGATTGACTTGCGCAAGATTTCGGATATGCACCCTGTTGAAATTGTTGATGCTGTTGATAAACTACAGGAGAGGCTGTTGGTTGTTCCCGGTGATGATGCCTTGAGTGTGGAAGCACAGAAGAATGCCACTCTGTTCTTCAACATTTTGCTTCGCAGCACTCTTGCTAGTAAAAGAGTTTTGGAGGAATACAAGCTCAGCCGCGAGGCTTTTGAGTGGGTCATTGGTGAGATAGAATCGAGATTTTTACAGTCGCTGGTAGCCCCCGGGGAAATGATCGGTTGCGTTGCTGCTCAATCAATTGGAGAGCCTGCTACGCAGATGACTCTGAACACTTTCCATTA